ATATATGCCATTCTTTATGTGTGTTGCCTTTCATGCAAACTATGACATTGCTCTTTCATGCAAACTATGACACTGCTCTTTCATGCAAACTGTAGCTATTGTTCTTTTTATGACATTGCCCTTTAATGCAAACTCTAACATGACATCCTTTATGTGATATTACTCTTTTTTGCAAAGTATACACGCTGATCTTTTATGACGTTGCTCTTTGACAACATTTATTCAACCAAATCAAAACTTGTTACACACACATAAAAATAGAGTAGTAATTCTCCGAACCTACATTCTCAACTTGTGCAATTTTCAAGAGGGATATTTCCAAATCCTTGTTAAAATGACAAAGATACCAGCTTTAATGTAATATCCATTTGGGGAATAACACTTGGCATTTTTAGAAACCACGTGTCTCTGTTCTATTTATCTCCATAGCTTTCTGAGTTACTATTTTACTCGGCACTCTTGTGGTTTTCCTTGTGTGGTTTTGGTATTTGTTATTGAAAATCAGAAAGCTTCACCTGTTTGTCATTTTTGCACTTTATAGGATTTAACTTGTTACAATACTATTTTATAATATGAATTTACATTTTTGGAACTCGGCATGTGTTATTAATTGGTAAGTGAAGAAATGATAATTTTCAGCTACAGTCCCATGTTGAGAGATTTGGGGTGCCCTCTCTCTTTACGTTTAGGGAAACAATACTACCCCCTCCTTTTCTAAGAAAGACAAATGGTTATTCACGTCTAAGAGAATGATGATATTTATAAGTTGACAGAAATAACCCCAAATGAGAGGATGCTACTACTTTCCTTTTAGGAAAAAACTATCGATAGATTCTACCCGAGTTTCTCTGATGTCAATACCATGAACAATACTTTACTGAAGAAGATCTCATGTTTTCTATTAATTATGATAATATGCTCTTGAAATCTGGACAATATTACATACTGATCCCCTATTCGATGCACTAATGAATAAGGCAATTCTATTACTTAAAACTAGAGATAAAAAACATAGAGAGAAATAGGGATTTAGGAGTTTAGGGAAAAGGATCACACACAATACATTAGAGATGTAGGGAATTTGGATAAAGAAAATATCTTAGGATATGCTGAGCAGAAATTTGCTAATTTGTTCGTGAACTATGAGAAATCCACCGTTCCATATGTGATGTGTAAACAACGAAAGTTGTGTACCATAGTCAATAATTAGGCATGGAGAGGAGGGCATAGAATACATATGGTGAGCAAACTAGAGATAAAAAACGTAGA